GAATTAGTCACATTCAATTCACATTGCTGCTGGAAACTGCAAACAGAAATACACGCATATGCTAAACATGGCCGCTAAAATGGGAACGCTTAAGTCCTGACGACGTCGAGTGTTCCTACACTCAAATTGAACCCAAACAGCGCCCCGACAGGTGATGTGTCTGTTTTGCGTGTTAGTAATCACGTAACATTCATAAATCAGACTGAGAACATTAATTATATCGAGTGTTTTTATGTATGTATTTATTTTTTTATGTTACCGTCTAATTCAGTTGGGCTGAAGTAGTCAGTGTCAGTGTATAGTTCTCGTCAATACGTTTTTTTTTTAAAGTTTAAATCATCTTATTTCATTTATTTTTTTGTGTAAAGGGAAAATTGTTAAGTACATAACGTAACGGCGGGGGTTGGTTAGGATGGAGCACATGGGTAGTTAACTATTAGCTAACTGCAGAGGCTAACAGCTAGCTTCAAGATATGTAAACAAAGAGCTGTTTGAGACTTGAGTCCCTAAGAGAAAGTTCAGTTCACACTGCACTCACTGACAAAATGTGCTGTAGTATGAGATTTAGAAGCAAGTATAACTCGTTGTGAAAGTAAAACTATAATATTTACCTTTGAAACAGTAATTGTAAATAGGTGGTATATAAAGGTGGTATATAAATGGTGGTAATACCCCTTCCAAGGCCACAGTTAGTTTTTTTAAATTTTCTTTGTAGTTGTCAGATAGCTAAGCTATCGTAACCATAACTACATAAAGACATGACGATTAGTTATTAACAGCTTCATAAATGTGAAAGGAGCAGCTGGAGGGACTGAAAAGGGGTAATATATGGAGTCTGAGTGAGAGAGAGATAAGATATTAATTATTTATTCAATAATTAGCAGGCTATTTGTGGACCAGGGATAGAAGACAAACAAAAAAAAACCCTGGAGAAAATAAAAGCTCTTTAAACAGATAAATAAAATAACATAATGCATGTATTTCTTTATAACCAGAGACACTGTAAATATGGACAGTAGGCAACAACTGGTAGATTTTGAGACGTGGCAATGTACAATTATATACCCCGAAAAACAAACCAGCAAACAAACGAAAAATACAGTAAATGTATTGAGTTACTCTTCAATCAAATTTTGATTAAATGATCTCAGCTTGTGTACATCACCTTTAGTCTAAGATTCTTATTAAAAATGTAATATTTTTCTTCAAGGCTGTGTTAATAGTCATTTGCAGACTCGAGACTGAGACTGCCGGTTTATTGCATTGGGTTAGTAACTAAATATTCAAGATCTGTTGAATGGAAAGTGTGGTCAGGTTTACTGGTCAGAACAGATATGGCAATGTTTCTTTTCTTTCTTTTCTCTTTTCTTTTTTTTACTCCTTACATTTTAAAATGAAGACTGTCGAAGTATCAGTACCTAATTTAGTATGACTGGATTCAAGCATGAAGTCCAACCATAGTGAAGGAAAGTTAGTTAATGCTGGGTCCTTCTCATGAAAAATCTGAATAGCAGCTAGGAGCCTGAACGTTAAAACACTACCATCTAGTGGGAAGAGTCTCTCAGTGCTTTTGGATCTGACGGGGCTGAAATGAAGTGTCACACAATAGGCCTTTCATTTCATTGCAATCACATTTATTGGCTTTTTTTCTACGCACAGTTACTAAGCAGCCCGATGAGCTGTTAAAATGAATTAGATATAGAGTAATGGAATTTTCACAATGTTGTCCCCCCAAAATAAATACAAGACTGAAGGTGTTGCACAGCTCCATAATATACAAAGGCTTGGAAATAATCATGTAAACTTTGAAAAAAAAAACTTTCTTTGTTTTTAATTTTTTTATTTGTTTATTTTACAAAAGAAAGAATTTGCAACATTTTTTTTCCTTTAAAAACGTATTTACATTTTTATACAAAAATACAAAAGTGATTCAAATCTGATAAGTCCTAGCTAGTTTTAAGCATGGAGCATCTTTTAAATACTTACAGTTTGTTTTCAGTGTTTATTTTTTCTCCTTTATGTCACTTTTTTTTAAAAGTCTGTTTAGTGTTATTCCATACTGTACACTTCTGAATAAAAATATCAAGTGGTTGTCATCAAACTTCCCCTTGCGTGCAGATATTGGAAACAGATTGAAAAAAAAATCCATAAAGGTTACAGATTCTTGTTTTGTTGTATTCCCAAGCTGCTGAGGTTTTAGAGGGCGAAAAGAGTGTTAAACTAGAGTCTGCATGGCAACCTCAAGAGTTTCTCTTTCTTACAAAATGTGTCAACCCCTCTGTCCACTCCTTACAAATAAAAGAAACAGTCTTGGAATACCTTTAAGGCGTCAGTGCCAGGTACAGTACGGAAAAATCACAAACTAAACTAAAGGCCAAATACTTAACTGATCAAATACTGAGTGTTTGGAGAATTTCACATGGCAATTCACAGTCGCGTTGCATTTTTCATTTAATACTGTTACAGCCCTACAAATGATTTTATTTCTTTATTTCAGTTATTCAGTAATAATATTAGTGGGAAACAAAATATTTACCTATTAGTCAAAAGTAGATGGTGACACTCTGATCAAATCCAAACTAGTTTTTTGTATTTACGAATTCATGTTTTTCCTTGCTTACTCTTTATTTGTACATTGTATTGAAACTGGCGTGTACACATATGCACTTTAAACATAATCAGCAGTTTCTCCTGGAAAATATTTCTCTCACTTCCACAGCTCCCCCAGGACTAGGACCCAGCACCGAAAGTGTTCAGATTTCTCCCTCCCAGCAGATTCTAGATAATTTTCTTTACAGTCTCTTATAACCTATGATTGTCCAGTGAGTAGATATACAGTACAAGATAAACCCCTGTTTGTGATCACGACTATACAGAACAGAATTAGCCAGACAGTTTGTACATCTATAGAACACACTATTGAACTTGACGTCTGAACAGAAAATACAAAAATCTCTTCTCATGGAGACATCCCTCAGATAAAAATAATGATTTGGCGGTGTCCTTTTCTTTTCTCCCCCC